AATGGAGCAATCGCAAAGGAAATGTCTATTAATAAACTGTGTGAAAAGATGAAGAGTTGACTGAGGAAGAAATCCCTGGGAGACTGAAGGCTTCATCAACTCAAATGACTGCATTTCTCATTCATCTCATCAAGTAAAAGAAGAAGTTTAAAAAAAGGAAATAGGGCTGTTCTTCAAAGCCAGGAAAGCCTGCGAGACTAGAGTAATAATTCCCATCACTGTTTCAATTCTACCTCTTTCTCTTTGGGACGGCTAGAAAGGAAACAAGAATTAACATTGCTCCATGTACCTTTAATCCCAAAGGAAATAAGGGCAGATTTAGGATTATTCTCCTGGATTATGGAGGCTGCTCTATGTTATGATCATTTAACAGAGTTAATGCTATATATTTATAAGGAATGAACACAACTGTGCAAAGATGAATGGATGGGGTCAGATAAGTGGTTCACTAGGTACCAAAGCTGCATAGTAGTTATTGCAACAGGCCGAGGAATGCCCCCTCAAAGATGTCCAAGCCCTAATCCTTGGAATTTGTGAAAATGTTGCTTGACATAGTAAAAGGGACTTTGCAGGTGTGATTGCGTTGAAGACCTTGAGATGAGGGGATTAGCCTGGGTGATCCAGGTGGGCTGAATCTAATCTTAGGGATTTGTAAATGTGGAGAACCTTTCCCTCTGAGTTCAGTGAAGAGCTACATGATGACAGAAGACTGTTCTTAGAGACACGTGTAGCTGGCTTTGAAGATGGATGAGGGAATCATAAACCAAGGAATGTGGGCAGCTTCTAGAAGCTGGAGAAGCAAGGAGACTCCAGAAAGGAAGGCAGCCCTGATAACATCTTGATTTTAGCTCATTGAGGCCTGTGTCAAGCTACTGACCTGGAGAATTTGTCAGGTAATAAATTTGTTGTTTGTTGTGTACAAAATGTGTGGTAATTAGCTACAGAAGCAATAGCAAATGAATAGTCATGAAGGCCCACATAGCCCCTGTCTATCCTCCTGCCTTTCAATTCCCAAGCCCCTGCCTCCAGCCCTGCTCTGGTCAGCACCTGTCTGCCTACCTGAGCTCCCTGCTAGCAGCTGGCTCCTTTCTTCTTCCTCCTCCATTTCTAGCCTTGTGACCTATGTTCTTCTTTGCTTTCTTTCTTTTTTTGAGACCAAATCTTGCCTTGCTGTCCAGGTTGGAGTACGGTGGCATGATCTGTGCTCATTGCAACGTCCATCTCCTGGGCACAAACAATTCTCCTGCCTCAGCTTCCCACATAGCTAGGATTATAGGTGCCCACCACCATGCCTGGCTAATTATTTGTATTTTTAGTAGAGATGGGGTTTCACCATGCTAGCCAGGCTGTTCTTGAACTCCTGACCTCAAGTGATCTACCCGCCTTAGCCTCCTAAAGTGCTGGGATTACAGGTATGAGCCACCGCGCCCAGCTTCTTCTTTGCTTTCAATGGATCAGCTCTAAATTTCAATTCTAGGCTCAAGTCCTACAGAAAGATTGCCTAGCCAAACCCTCCAGCCCTGGCTGTTCTTAAACTCAGGGCCCATTTGCATTATATTATCTTCATTGTACAGTTTTTCCTTGAAATCTCTGAGTCATTATTTCTGTCTCAGTGTGGATGGGGTTGAGCTGGAGGTATCATGCATAAAGTTTAAATGACTCTGAGATGAAAGACTGTGACTCAGAGTTTATTAGAGAGCTGGAAGCTTAGAGTGGCCTCACCATATTCTCTTTATCTTTACCCCAGGTGTGTATCTTCTCACAGGAGCCAGATCCCAAGATGTATCCACCAAGGGCCCTGCCTCTGGAGGCAGAGAACTGCTTATTAATCTCACTGTTTGGTTCCCAGACTTCTCCAGATGAAACTTTCTTTAGAGAATTTTAACAAGAGGCTGCTATGGTCCCAGGCTTCCATTCCCGCCTCCCTAGATCCCTAAACCCTGGATCCATTTGGAGACAAAATATTCAAATATTGTCTCCAAATGGAAACTCTGGATCCAGCCCTGCCTAGGTACCCAGGCTGTCATAATTTTAGTCCAGCTGGGAAAATTCCTCTGCATTTGTTCCATGATCTCATCTTTTTTCCATGGTCCTAGGAGGAGAAGGGCCAGGAGACACGCACTGCAAAGGTGCTGATCCTAAGCCATCATCTGCTTGGGTGTATCTAGGTCTTTATCCCTTTCTTTATTCAGATCTTTTTCTCAAATGTTAGTTCCTCAAAACAGAGGGCATCTCATTATTTTAAGGAGTAACATCAGTGCCTCAGAAGTCCCCAGAGGGTTGCTTGGCTTCCTGTCATTCCCACAGAAAACACTAGGCTGGAGTCTTTCTATAAACTGTAAACATCACTAAGGCATGAAGGACTTGGGGATGAGAAAGAGCTGAGAACACTCATCCTTGAGGGAGAAGGGACACAACCAGCACCTTTCCCCTCTGGCCTCCTGAGGGACTTCTTTTCCATCTCCCAGCCCCACATTGATGCTGCTACCCCTGGCTTTGTAGTGATACAGGGTAGGCGCTGGGTTAGAAAATCAGCATAAGGACTAGCGGTGTTTTGGCTCACCCAGCAGTGCCATCCCTTCTCAGCTGTGCACAAAGCCCCTGTCCACCCTTGCCAGCTGCAGGACACAACCCAAGGGCAAGAGCCTGCATCTCTGATGTCACTTACATTACAGAGTGAGGCCAGCAGGCAGGCATCTCCAGGTATGAATGCCTAAGTGAGAGCGGTTTACGAAGAGGACACCAAGCTTGGAGGCTAAGGTGAGTGGTGGAAGTCTGTGTGTCAGTCAGGTTCTCATGCAACACAAACATAAGGACTGAGTTTGAATTTGGTCAGTTCCTGGCTAGATTTTAGACTTACCATTAAGGTTTGTCAGTGGCATGGGTGCTAGGCATGACTTATTTATTTTATTTTTTGAGATGGAGTCTCGCTCTGTTGCCCAAGTTGGAGTGCAGCGATGTGATCTTGGCTCATTGCAACCTCCGCTTCCCAGGTTCAAGCAATTCTCCTGCCTCAGCCTCCAGAGTAGCTAGGATTACAGGCACCCGCCACCACGCCCAGCTGATTTTTGTATTTTTAGTAGAGACCAGGTTTTACTGTGTTGACCAGCCTGGTCTCAAACTCCTGACCTCGTGATCCGCCCACCTTGGCCTCCCAAAGTGCTGGGATTACAAGCATGAGCCACTGCACCCATGCGGTACAAATCTTTTAAAAATTAGAATGCCTTTGCTGGGTAGCCAGAACACAGCCCCAAATGAAGCTTTTATGGGGCTGGAGAAAGGGTCAGAGTATAACTATACACAGCTTCACACCTTCCACTCCTTACAGTGTGTGTTGTAAATACTTATGTTTGTGTGTGTTTGAAATGTTTTAAAGTACTCTTTTAGTGAATTGAAATTCCAAGGAACAGTGTAAAGCTGTGTGTAAAGATCTTCACACACACACACACACACACACACACACACACACAGGCAGCAAGAAGTGTAGAGAGATGATGGCCCAAGAAAATTTGAGTTCTAGTGACAGTCGCAACAATAAGAACTTGATCACAACAACAACAACGATATGTTAGCTAGTATGTGCCAGTCACTGCCCTAAAAAGTTTACTTATTTAATTTTATAATCGCCTTAGAGTGTAAATACTAGTATTACCTTTACTTTATAGCTGAGTAAACAGAGGCTCTGAGAGAGTAACCAAGAAGAGCAGATTTATGGCCCGTGACAAGCCAGTCTGGAGCCAGAATCCTAAAACAGGCAGGCCAACTCCATAGCTTGTGCGTCCCACCACCGGGGGAGGGGAAGTGCATTGAAGATGCCAAGCTGTGTCCTCGAGTAGATGGCTGATAGGATCTCTGCTCACTGCAACCTCCGCCTCCTGGGCTCAAGCAATTCTCTTAGCTTCCCAGAGAGCTGGGATTACAGGTGCTCGCCACCACAACCCACTAATTTTTTGTATTTTTAGGAGAGATGGGCTTACATTTGGATCTCCAGGCCTTCCTCCCTGACCTCCTGCACCCTTTCTGCTCTCCATCTGTGCAAACAGTAAGCAGAGGGCCACTCTAGAGAAAGCTAATTTCTGGACTCAAACCTCTGACTTTCACTAATTTCACGATCACCACTGGAGAAATGTGCACAAATGAGGGTCCTTGGAGAGACAGCTCAGAAAGGTTTGCGGGGACCCTTTAAGAGGGGTCTTGGGGCACCACCTCTGGGTGTGATGCAGACACATCGGCCTACATCGGGAGCTTCTGGGTCATGTACACTAATGTTCTCTCCCTCTCTCTCTTTTTCTCCCTCTCCTATATTTGAATTTTTTCTGTTCCTTCTCTGTTCCTCTGTTATTTCCTTCTTGTTTTCTCCCTAAGTGTCAATGTCTCTTGCCGTGTGGATGTCTGTTGCCGTGTGGTCCTCCTTAATCTGCTCCTGTTTTTCTCTCTTCCTTTCTTTCTTTCTTTTTTTTTTTTATTTGAGATTGAGTCTTGCTCTGTCACCCAGGCTGAAGCGCAGTGGCATGATCTCAGCTCAATCTAACCTCGGCCCCTCAGGTTCAAGTGATTCTCATTCCTCAGCCTGCCAGGTAGCTGAGATTGCAGGTGCCTACACCTGGCTTATTTTTGTATTTTTAGTAGAGACAGGGTTTCATCATGCTGGCCACGCTGGTCTTGAACTCCTGACCTCAAGTTATCCACCCACCTCAGCCCACTGGGATTAAAGGCATGAGCCACTATTCCCAGCCTTCTCTCTTTTTCACAATGGCTTTTTATGTCTTTCACTTCTCGGATACCTTCACTCTGTTTTGCTATGACTCTCCTATTCCTGTTCTGTTATCTTTATTGCTTTTTCTTTCTGCTTTTCTGTTTATCATCACTCGCTGGCTACTTGCCTCTCTCTCTCTATTCTCTGTCTCTGTCCCTGTTTCTTCTGTTTCATGGTCAGTGGTTCTCTGTCTCTCTCTGTTTCTGCCTCTCCAGCTGTCTTTTGTTTCCCTTGCCTGCAGGACCCCAGCCCGTGGATCATGGCAAATCTGAGTCAGCCCTCAGAATTTGTCCTCTCAGGCTTCTCCTCCCTCGGCGAGCTGCAGGCTCTTCTGCATGGCCCCTTCCTCATGCTTTACCTTCTCGCCTTTGTGGGAAACACCATCATCATAGTTATGGTCATAGCTGACACTCACCTACATACACCCATGTACTTCTTCCTGGGCAATTTTTCCCTGCTGGAGATCTTGGTAACCATGACTGTAGTGCCCAGGATGCTCTCAGACCTGCTGGTCCCCCACAAAGTCATTACCTTCACTGGCTGCATGGTCCAGTTCTACTTCTACTTTTCCTTGGGTTCCACCTCTTTCCTCATCCTCACAGATATGGCCCTTGACCGCTTTGTGGCTATCTGCCACCCACTGCGCTATGACACGCTGATGAGCCGGGCTGTGTGTGTCTGGCTGGCTGGGGTTGCCTGGGCAGTTCCTTTCCTAGCCATGGTACCCACTGTCCTCTCTCGAGCTCATCTTGATTATTGCCACGGCAACGTCATTAACCACTTCTTCTGTGACAATGCACCTCTCCTGCAGTTGTCCTGCTCTGACACCCACCTATTTGAATTCTGGGACTTTCTGATGGCCTTGGCCTTTGTTCTTAGCTCCTTCCTGATGACCCTCATCTCCTATGGCTACATAGTGACCACTGTGCTACGGATCCCCTCTGCCAGCAGCCGCCAGAAGACTTTCTCCACCTGTGGGTCTCACCTCACACTGGTCTTCATTGGCTACGGTAGTACCATCTTTCTGTACATCAGTCCTGGCAAAGCTCACTCTGCGCAAGTCAAGAAGGTCGTGGCCTTGGTTACTTCAGTTCTCACACCCTTCCTCAATCCCTTTATCCTTACCTTCCGCAATGAAACAGTTAAAACAGCGCTACAGGGGCAGATGCAGAGGCTGAAAGGCCTTCGCAAAGCACAACGATGAGCCCAGGGCGCAGGGGGACCTGGTCTGTCTCCATTGAGCAGTTCTGTGAGGAGGGAGACTTCTAGCAAGTGGGAAGACCACTGGTGAGTTTCTTTAGTTCTTTTTCCTACAGTGAGCCCTCAGTGCTGCACAGTCTGATCCAAAGCTTTTAAAGGCCACCATGGAAGTGTTCCCTACATCACCTGGCAGCCGTAAGAACTCTGAGAGTAGCCCAGAGCTTTCAGTAAAGGGAAGTGCATGTGCTTTGCACTTAAGGAAGAGTAGCCAAGAAGTGCTCTCTGATGAAGAGATAGTATCCAGTCCCAGTATATATACATGTGTATGTATGTGTGTACATGTGTGTGCATGTGTGTGTATGCATGTGTGTGTGCATGTGTGTACGTGTTCAGGGTGTGCGTCTCTATCACAATGTGCATCCATTGCTGAATGGGTTGGGCTACCTGGGATCAAGGGAAGAAGCAAAACTTACCAAAGACAAACTGATTGTTTTTCAATGTGTATGTGAATGTATGGGGTGGGAGGCTGGGTCCTTGTGTAATTATTCGTCCATTTATTCATTCATTTCACCAATATTGAGTAGGCTGTGTGTCTCAGGCACTGCAACAAGTATAGGGTAAGAAGGTAAAGACGGCATAAGTGGTTCTTAACCTGACAAAGCTCTTGGCCTAAGGAAGGAAAGAGTGATAGAGTGATAAAGGGCTGTTTCCAGCACAGCAGGGAATATGCAACAGTGGAATCCCAGAAGGTTTTATGAGCACACAGGAGAGCAACGCTGAGACCAGGCCGGGCTGAGCGACGGCTTCCTGGTGAGATGACACCTGAGTAGCACATTGAATATAAGGTAGTCTCTGTGAGAGTGCAATTCATCAGGTACCTTTGCCTCAGAGCAAGACGAAACAGAAAAATTAAACAAGATAAATCTCCACTCGTGAGGAATTATGTGGTTTCCAGAGAGGAAATATTCAGAGTTTTAGAAAGATAAACTTTGCTTCTGTATGATTAGAAACATTCATTTGCCTGAAGGCAAGGGATTGTAATAAATCTAGTAAGTTCATTTATTCAGTCATTATATATCCTATTTTACACACATACATACTATACTATACATTATATAAAATATGAACATTATGTTACATTCATATATGTGTGCATATAAAATTCTTGAAAGCCTATTATGTGCCATGCAGCCTTTGGAATAAACATCAGCTCTGCTGTCCTCCCTCCTCTAACTACAGCCTGAAATTTAAAAAATCTTCCAGTTACTGTGACCTCAGGATCACGGTGTTCCCTTAGCTTTTGCCTATGCAGTATTTTCTAAAGTAGCCCCGATTTATGTTGTTCTGACACATTGTTTCTGTAAATACACTTTAATTTACCAAACGCCATTTCCCAATTTGTGATATATAAACTACAATCAGGAGTTTATTCGTAGCTACACGTACTTGAAAACAATAAAACTACTAATTTATCACAAATGTTGAGCATTTAAAAAATCCACTACGTGGAAGTGAAACAGGTAGACTCCTTTGGAGCTTGGAAGATGTGGCTCACATAGCAGCCCATTGGTTCTTCTCATGACCCCGTCTCACTCCAAGCTAACTCCTTCCTAAATGAGGCACCCCTTTCTCTGGCTTTCTGGAAGTGTCTTTCTTGCTTGCTGAGATACCCCTCACCCAAGTCAGAGGGTCTTTTTAAGTTCCTAGTTTCAGTTTCTGGACCAAAATTTTGCTGTTCTTTAATTACATAACAGAGCAATGACTCTGGTGTCTGCAGTTGCTATTGAATGAATTGACGTTTTTTTTCCCTCTAATTATTCTCTGCTTGCTACCTAGAAAAGTATTTGTAGAGTAAATGAAAGAAGGATGAGTAAAGCAAGAACAATTCTACTAGCAATATCTTACTTTTGTATACTTTTTATACTTTATGAACCACACTTTTATATATATTTTTCATTTGGTTTTACCCTCATAGTAACTCAATTAAATAAAGATTCACTGAGATCACCCATCATGAGCAAAACACTTTAACAGCAGTGGCTGTTAAAGATGAAAGAAATGCGGAGTCTGACCTCAAAGAGTTCCCCATGTGCTGGGAAAAATTAAAAAAATGTGGTTAATTTCAATAAGGTGTTTTCCTATAGAGTGTATGAGAGCTCAGAAGGAAATTTTCTGATTCTGAAACTGCAGTAAGCAGTGTTCCTGATCCATTTTAGTGGGCAAAAGAAACATGGCTGAGAGAAAAAATGAGTTGGTCAGAGAAATGGCAGAACTGACAGCAGAATCTGATTCTTCAAACCTTTTTTTGTCTCCCCATCTTTGGAATTTTCTTCTTCCATCTGAATTAAAAGTGAGGTTAATTCAAAATCGGAATCTCCAGGATCTGAAGTTGCTCAGTTTTGCCTCCTCTAAACCCTTAAGGAGTACATATCTGTCATGTTTCTACAAGTTTGTAGACTTGTAATGGCAGCAATTCTGGTAACCCCTTCCTCACAGTAATGCACATTTAGTCTCCATCACTTGAAAGAAACACATACTGACAGAAAGCAAGTATAGATTCAATGTCACTTTTAAAGGTTGTGTTTCAATATCAAAGACAGAAGCAACCTAGATGCCCATCAATGGTAGACTGCACAAAGAAAATGTGGTACATATACTCCATAGAATACTATGCAGCCATAAAAAAGAGAAAAGTCATGTCATTTGCAGCAACTCACATGGAGCTGGAAGCCATTATCGTAAGCAAATTAAGACAGAAACAGAAAACCAAATACCATATCTTCTCTTGTAAATGGGAGCTAAACGTTGAGTATACACGGACACAAAGAAGGGCATTGTAGACACTGGGACCTACTTGAGGGTGGAGGGAGGGAGGAGGGTGAGGATTGAAAAACTGTCTATCAGGTATTATGCTGATTACTTGGGAGACAAAGTTATCTGTACATGAAACTCCAGCAACATGCAATTTATCCATACAACAAACTTGCACATGTACCCCTTGAAACCAAAATAAAAGTTGGAAAGAAGGAAAAAAAAATGTATTTTATTTCTCACAATTGATTCCGCGAAGATTTGATATATAGCAAATGTCTGGAACCAATATATCTAGACATCTCTAGGTCACACCCACGTGGAATTCTAACAGCGAGCCAGAGGCTGGGCCACTTGATAGAGTCACTCAAGAAGTTTAAAGTCAGACTAGGATGAGAATCTTCAGGGTCTTTATCCCAGTTACTGTCTCCAGAAATGGGACCTGGGATAAAAGTCACTAAGGAAAAATGCCTCCAGTAATAGCAGATGTGTCCCCAGATTCCCTCTTCCAATGACCTTCACATTGTTGAGATTGGAACAAGGGCTTTATTAGACAATTTCCTGTTTGAAAATTCTACCAGCATATTGTCTAGATCAGCGTTACTCAGATATTAATGTGCACAGGAATCACCTGGGTATCCTGCATAAATGCAGATTCTGATTTAGGAGGTCTCAGCCTGAGATTTTTCATTTCCAATAAGCTCCCAGGAGATGCTAGTGCTGTTTCAAGGAGGACACTTTGGGTTTTGTTTGTTTGTTTGTTTTGAGACAGTCTCTCTCTGTTGCCCAGGCTGGAGTACAGTGACACAATCTCGGCTCACTGCAACCTCCGCCTCCCAGGTTCCAGAGATTCTCCTGCCTCAGCCACCTGAGTGGCTGGGATTACAGGCACCTGCCACCATGCCTGGCTAATCTTTTTATATTTTTAGTAGAGATGAGGTTTCACCACACTGGCCAAGATGGTCTCAATCGTCTGACCTCATGATCCACCCAAGCTGGCCTCCCAAAGTGCTAGGATTACAGGTGTGAGCCACTGTGCCCAGCCTCGAGAAGCACACTTTGAAGAGCAAAGAAATCACAGGCAAGGCTGTGGGGCCAGTCAGGCTGCGTGATGCTGGATTCCATGGGGTGATGGCTGTGAAGGCCCAAAGTGAGTCATACATTCCCCAAAACTGACCAGAGACCCCGCTTCCAAGGAAATGCTATGAAAAACAGGCAATAGCCTGCTACAGGATATTGATTATTTTTAGTTTTTTAAGAGGGGAATGTGCAGAGATGAGAAAGTAGCAGGAAGGAGTCCCCGGGGAGGACACTGAGTGACTCCTGTGCTGATTATTGTAGGAGAAGAAGCCAAGGAAAAGTATCTGCATCTCAGAAGGAGATAATTACTTCCCACTTAGCTCTTCAGTTTTTCAGGAAGTTTTCAAGGAGGACAAGTAATTAGTCTCTTGAGAAGTGAAAGAGACAAAGTTCTTGGATGTAAAACTTTTCCCTACTGGCCTTTACAGCAGAATCAGAAGTATCTGCCCACTTTTGGCGAGGCCCACAAATGCAAACACATACTGTGGTAGTTGGAAAAAAAAAAAAAAAAAAAAAAAGCTACATTAGAAATCAAGCTAAATGGCAGAGACAGTAGGACAGTGTTGCCTCCAGGCTCTGTGTCCTGGAAGGCTTCCCCTCCAACCATTCTTTATAGTCTTGGCCCTAGAGAGTGGCTCCCACACTGAGACTTCACACTGCAAGTTATGAGCAGGGCTTCTCCTCTAGGGATCTGTGGACGGAGCCAGCTTCAGAAGTGAGAGGAAGTTTGCATCTACTCTTTGTCCCGCTTTGCTAATTCTAGCCCAGCCTAGTTGAGACTCAGTCTAGTATAAGAATCCAGACCTGGAGCTCTTCCTGCCCCCACCATCTTCCCATGACTTTCCACGCCATACGCAGATTTCCAAGGAATGCCTCTTTTATCAGCCTTCCCACCCCATGACCCACAATACCAGTCCCACTCCATTTACTCCTTCTCGTCTGACTTCTACCATCTTTGCTTCTACCATCCTGGTAATCTGGCCAGGCTCCTCTCAGGAAACCCAACCTCAGAAGGTCTGGGCAGCTGGTCCTCCTTCTGGAACTTGGATCTAAGGTTCTGCAGCAGAAGGGACAGAGTGGCCCATGAGAAGGGGAAGGTAGCAAGTCTGAGAGTGCAGATGCAGCTCAACCTTCTGCTGCTCTCAAGTGCATGAAAAAAAAGTTAAGTCCTTCATGACTTCCTATAAGAGGGTTGGAGGAATGACTCCCAGAGAGCCATTTCTGTTGAAAGGCAAAAGGCTTTTGGGCCAGATGGAAGAAGTGGGCAGCCTGGGTGTGAGGGGTGCTTCCATCCAGGAGCAGTCAGTCCAAGAGAGGGGAACCAACAGAGGCACATGACTCCTCCTGTGTTGGGGTGCCAGGCCTCTCTGTTCTTCTTAGAGCACCTCCCATTTTCAGAACCCTATCCTAGACCTTGAAACCAGGTCCTGGAAAGGAAACATACCCAAAATAAAAGTCAAACACAAAGCAACTTAAAAGAATGCAAGCAAAACCACAGATCTGAGAAAGAGAGGTTTTAATAGGACATTTTAATAATAGCTAAATTTACTGAGCTCCTACTACAGTACCAGACCCTGCACTAAGAGCCTTATTTGGATTATCTCTTTTAATTAATATCATCCTATTGTACTTACTCCGCATTCCCTATCTGTTCTTTATCTCAGGTGCACAGAAACTTGCCTTTGAGACATTCTAACAGTGTGTGTCCATTAGTTCTCTGCAGTGCAGGAGAAGAAGCTTGCCTGAAGATGAGGGAGCAGGAGAGACTGAGAAAAAAGAGATTGAGGAGCTCCAGCCTAAGCATGTGGGTGCCCACCTGTGGCAAGTCTACTCCTCGTGACTTGCCAGGTGCTCTCCAGCCCTGTTAAGAGCTCACCCTCTCACCTCCAGGCTGCTGGGTCTCTAAGGAAGATCCTTTTGGTCACATCCTCCATGACCTCCTTGACTTTCTCATTCCGGAAGGTGAAGACAAAGGGGTTAAGGAAAGGGGTTACCACTGCAGTCACCAGGGCCACCACCTTGTTGAGGTGTGCGGAGTGGCCCTTGCCTGGCCTCACATAGATGAAGATGGCACTGCCATAGCCCAGAACCACCACTGTGAGGTGAGAGGCACAGGTGGAGAAGGCTTTCTGGTGCCCAGAGGAGGAGGGGATGTGCAGCACAGCAGGCACAATGGGGATGTAGGAGAGAATGATGAGCAGCATGGTGGTCATCACAAAGATCAGGGACAGGAAGAGGTCCATGCACTCAGTGGGGCGGGTGTCAGAGCCGGCAAGCTTGAGTAGTAGGGCAGAGTCACAGAAGTAGTGGTCAATGACATTAGGGCCACAGAACCAGAGCCGTGTTTTCTGCAGTGTGTGAGAGACAATGGAGAGGAACCAGAACATCCAACAGGCCACCACCAGCTTCACACACACTGGACCGCTTATGATGGTTGGGTAGTGCAGGGGGCGGCAGATGGCCACGTAGCAATCAAAGGCCATGACAGTTGAGGATCAGGAAGTTGGTGGAGTCCAGGGAGAAGTAAAAGAAAGACTGGGTTAGGCATTCGACCAGGGACATGGTCCTGTGAGTGGATAGCAGGTCTGCCAGCATCGTAGGTAATACAGTGGCGGTGACCAGCATCTCCATGAGGGAGAAGTTGCAGAGGAAGAAGTACATAGGTGACTGAAGGCGGAAGTCAAGGAAAGTGAGGCTGATGATGGCCAGGTTGCCCAGCAGTGTCAGCACATATATCAACAGGATCACAGCAAACAGCAGAACCTGGAACTCATGGAGATGAGAAAATCCCAGGAGCTCACACTCCCTGATAATGCTGTAGTTACCCATTGTACTTGATGCCCATTCTATGTGACACCTGCGAGGAGTTGGGAAATAGTAGGAGATTGGCATCAACCTCTCTATGGATCAGGTCCCCACAGTGCTGGCCTGGCTCCCCAAGCACACTAGCCTGTGTGCACAGTTGACCCCAGAAGACACATTCTCAAAGGGAAGGAGTTTCCCTGGGGCGAGGAATGGATTACTGGCTGGGATGAGTAGATTTATGACTTGGCCACCTCTACGTTAGCACTACTCTTAAACTCTTCCTCTTCTGTAGTCTATTCACTGAGTATATTATACAACACACTTAATAAGCTCCAGCTCTGTGCAAGACATTTGGCTGGGTCTGAGGGTGAAGTGGTAAACAGTTCCTAACTGCCAAATCTAATGGTCTGTTGCTCAAATAATAACTGATATTTACTGTTCTTTCCCTGTGCCAGACAATGTGCTAGATACCTTACACATTACTTCCTTCCATCTTTTTTGCCCAATCCTCATCCTCTTTTTCTTCTCTATAACATTTCAGGCTACAGATAACCCATTTTTGAATTCATGCCCACCCTTGACTGCAAGGACCCTGCACTCTTGAATTTCTCCTACCAACCTGGTTTCCCTTGTCTGTCTCCTCTAGCTCCCTGTCTTCTGCTGTTTTCTAAACATGGATGTCCCCACATTTCTTATATTAAAAAAAAAATCTCTATTTTCTCCTTCAGAAATCTCACCTTCTTTAACCAAAGCAATCTTTAAAATGTAAATGAATTTCAAATCTGGATTTTGTCCTCCTCTGAGTCCCAGCCCACATCTCTAGCCACCAGATTGACCACCACCACCCATTCAACACGTCTGAAGAGACACACATAGTCCTCCCCTCCTGCAAAGACCATGTTCATGACTCCCAATTTCCCAGTCATCTGGGCTGGAACCTGGAAGCATCTAGTCCTCCTTTGTTTATCCATAGCCATCACCCTAGTTACAGGATCTGTTTCCTCTCAACCACTGAAACAACATTCTTAATGTTTTTCTTTTTATTGGTAGATTGCTCAATCACCAACCTATCCATGCACCATACTATTATATTTTATTTTCCTAAGTTATTGTGTCGATTATTGTTTTTAATAATCTGTCACAATGGGATTTCATTTACAATTACTTTCAAAATCAATCAAACTAGCCAACCGTATATCTTCATCCAGAAAAAGAGTAAAAGGATGCATTTTAAAATATTAACAATGGCTATATCTGGGTGTGGGTTATAGGAATTTACTTTTTAAACATCTTATATTGAAATTACATATATTTAATGTGTTACATTAGTCTGTTCTCACAGTGCTATAACGGCCCACCCAAGACTGTATAATTTATAAAGAAAATAGGTTTAATTGACTTACAGTTCAGCATGGCTGAGAGGCCTCAGCAAACGTATGATCATGACGGAAGGTGAAGCAAACATGTTCTTCTTCACATGGCAGCAGCAAGGAGAACTGTGGAGCAAAGGAGAGAAAAAGCCCCTTATAAACCTATCAGATCTCATAAGCACTCATAACCACCTCCATGATTCAATTACCTCCCACAGGGTCACTCCCACAAGATGTGGGGATTATGGGAAGTACAACTCAAAATGAGATTTTGGGTAGGGACACAGCCAAACCATATCAAGTGTACATAGCATGAGGTTTGGATATAAATATACTTAGTAAACTTATTGCTATAGTCAAGCCAATGATTATATCTGTCTCTTCATATAGTTACCATTTTTCATGTGTACTGAGATGACCTAAGGTCGACCCTTTTAGCAAATGTCAAGTATGTAACACAGTATCACTACCTGTAATCCCCAAGCTGAACATTAGATTGCTAGAACTTATTCTTCCCACCCAACTGAAACCTTGTACCCTTTGTTCTTCTATACATACATATTTATTTCCAAATTCTGTACATTTAAATTTGAATTCTCTTTATATATTATTTTAGTGATAAAAAATATTAACAACAATCTCTTCCCTTGTCAGTCAAACCAAGCACAAATTCTCCCTGGCAATTTCTGCCCTGCATGACTAGGCTCATTCACTACCCTCAAACCTTCACCCTCTCACCTCCTGGTCACATACTTTGTGCTACCACCAAACTGAAACCTTGCTATTCTTCATAAGTTAATTCCACTTTGCCTTCAAACCCTTCCGTTTTTATTCCTGTGCTTAGAATACTTTGTTCTGCTATCTTTGCCTGGCAAATTCTTCATCACCCACCAGGGACTATCTCAAATGTCCCCTCCTTTATAATGCTTCATCCCCTATGCAGATGTGAAGTCATCCTGCCTGGAGTTTCCAATCAGAAAAGTTAACATGATCTGCCTTGCATTATAATTGTGTACCAGTCAGATTCCAAATCCTGGACTCCTAGTCTCTAGTGTCAGAGCTTGTTTTTCATCTTTATAATCCTCAGAATACCAAGCCACATGCCTTACACAGTGTAACTACTCATTACATTTTGGTTAAACAGGCCAGGTGCAGTGGCTTACACCTGTAATCCCAGCACTTTGGGAGGCAGATGCAGGAGAACTGCCTGAGGCCAGGAGTTTGAGACCCAGCCTGAGTAACACAGAGAGACCCTGTCTCTACAAAAATAAGAAAGTTAGCCTCGTGTGGTGCTGAATGCCTGTAGTCTGAGCTACTTCGAAGGCTGAGGTGGGAGGATCACTTGGGCCCAGGAGGTGGAGGTTGCAGTAAATTGTGATTACAACACTGCAGTACAGCCTGTGCCACAGAGAAGACAATCTCTCAAAATAATAATAATAATAATTTTGGTTAAACGAATGAGCACATATGTTGAGTTTTCACTTCTAGTCCTGAGAAGTAAAGTTTTGCCAAATAGAAACTCATATTTTCTTTAATGATGATGTGTATGTGTGCAATGTGGACTTTAACAAAATGCAATGGGGCAATCATTACCCCATAATTTCCTATCAGAAAGCTAAAATGAGATGAGACCAAGCCCAGAAAGGCAGGATCCTGGAATCAAGCACACTATTATTTCTGCAGCAAAGTACACAAATATTCACACTCAATGAAATAAAGGCAGAAATGGGCTCATGTTTAATTGCTTTGACTCAACATTTAAGACAGAACTTTCAGTATTCAAAGCATTTTGATTACATAATTGTGGATAAAGGGTTGGGAATGGGTAGACCCCATCCACTGAGGGCCCACCATGCACTGACTCCCATGCTGCAAGGATGCTGTGAAATCATTACTAACTTCATACATAGATGATAAAAACCGAGGGCTCTGAACATTTAAGGATCTTAATTCCAAGTCATATGGTCAATAAATGTTGAGTTGAGATTCGAACCTAGATTTTACAACTCCAATATCTATTCGTTTGTAGTAATCAAAACCCCAAGTATGTGGAATCTGCAAAGCGTTCAATCAAGTACAGTGCCATATCAATCTCCAAACACAGGACTCAAAGCTTATTGCTTTTATGTACAAATAAAAATGCTTATACCTACAAAAAAATCTATTTAATAAATGGCAAATGAATGAATGTATTAAAGTCCCACAATCAGCTGTGAACTATCAGTGATAGGAAGGAGATGGGGAGGGTGTCCCTTTCCCAGCAGAAAGATCTAACTTGGGTCTCAAATGCTATTGCAAGACTAGTTAGAGGTGCTCCAAACAGGGTCGGCCCTCAGCCCTCCATCTCTTATGGGGAATCCATGACTGTCCAGACACCCAGGAAGCTGCTGTTCCTCTAATTACCACTTCCCAGACTGTGACCTTACCCTATTCAGCCCCCATATTGATGTCCTTCATATTCTGCAGGTGTTATAAATTCCTAAGCCAGAAGGAGAAATTCAACCCATGGGCCTGTTTTGTGTTTTATTTGCCACCTGCCACTCAGAAAGCAACATCTTTCTACCAAGTTTCAGAAACATCACATCTTGAGGCTCTGCAGTCCAAAACATCTCAAGTCTTGGAATCAGAGTCAAAGGAGAATTCTAAGATAATTGAGTCAGGAGCACTCCAGTTCATGCGGCAGGCTTAGCTTCATACCACACCAGCTGGCCTCCTTTTCAAACTGGCCTCCAGCACAGCCCCCATTTTCGTGCCCTTGCTATTCACCCCTCATCCCAAACCCTCTTGCATTTCTCCTCCCAAACTCTGTTCAGCCGCTTAAACTTTTCACCCTTAGTTTGTTTTTTCCCTGTTCAAGATCTCACCTCTCCTCTCAGGTTTGATGACTGATGCTCCTCTCTTCATACAAAATTCATGCCAGTCACTTCTTCATGAGGCATCAAGACTCTGAGTCACTACACCCCCACCCCCAACTCCAATTCAGCAAGACTGCAACTTGGGACGAGTCCCTGGAGTATGTTTTAGGGCTTTTCGTGCTTGTTCAATAATTTTACATTCCAAGTTTTTATTTTGGAAAACTGACTGTTAATTGCAAGTGAAGTTAACATAGGTAAAGTGTAACTTGAATGTCAAATAGACTTTTTTCCGCATCAGAGTATTTGACAAAATAGGTTTCCCTCAGTGCAGCCTGTCCTTGCTAGAGAACAGATCCTCTCTCAGGCCCAGGACTCCTGCATTCCCAAGATTCAGGCAAACTTAACTGGTCCAACCAGTAGACCATCCAGTGCTCAATCAAAACAGGCCAAGCGGCTGGGGCACAGTGGCTCATGCCTGTAATCCCAGAACTTTGGAAGGCCGAGGCAGGTGGATCATAAGGTCAGGAGTTCAAGACCAGCCTGGCCAACATGGTGAAACCCTGTTCTACTAAAAATACAAAAATTTGCCGGGTGAGGTGGCATTTGCCTATAATTCCTGTTACTTGAGAGGCTGGGTCAGAGAACTGCTTGAACCCGGGAGGCGGAGGTTGCAGTGAGCCAAGATAGTGCCACTGCACTCCAGTGTGGGTGACAGAGCAAGACTCCGTCTCAAAAAAAAAAAAAATGCCAAGCATAGCCTTGGCGTTACAGAATGGCCTGGTCAAGGCTGGTCAAGGCC